CTCCGAAATCACAAATTTGATATTCATTTCAAAACAGATACCGGCTAAGTATAGTTTTTCTATCAATCAATGCATAAGTAATCAGCAGGTGTAGCTAAAATAGTACTTGTATTTATGGGGGATATTTTGTGGTTTCGCACGGATTCCAACCCAGCTTGCCAACTCTGAAATCCTGAGCTCTTCCACAGAGCCATCCCAACCCTAAATAAAACGAAGGTAAATATGAATTAATATTATAAAGATTATACAGACCACAAGATACCTGCACACTTAACTTAAAGATTAAACAAACCATAAACAGTATCTCTACAAATCTTGTGGTCTGTATAATCTTTAGGTTCAATACTGTTTGTGGTTTGTTTAATCTTTAAGTTAAGTGTACAGGTATCTACAATGAACCTAAATATTATACAGACAACAAGATACCTGTACACTTAACTTAAAGATTAAACAAACCACAAACAGTATCTCTACAATGAATAGAACAACCAAAGATCAATATGTTTATACAAATGTATTCCAATTATTTTATTATGTATGTATTAATATGTATTTTATTCTTTTGTTTCACAGAGTTATCTTGTAACAGGTGAGAATCCACGAACACTAAATGTAAGTGTCAAAAGCTGTCCAGGTGTACCAGGTAACAGATCGCAATATAATCAAGAAGGATCTCCTTCTGGAAAAGCGACGCAAGTCATGTGCGCACAAGTTGTTTTCACGACATATTTGTTCAACCGTAGCATACCTTAAGCAACTGAAGAATGAAATGGATATTCCTGCTATTCTATACGAAGTCATACTGATCATGCACCGCCTACAGATTTCTGTGTGATCGGACAGTTGAAATGAGCGCTTGGAAACCATCGTCCTCTTACATTAGATTGACCATGGAAAGCAGCATGGGGTAGTGGTGTGCTTTTGACGTGACAGACTTATACGACTGAGCCTTCAGATAGAGTATGACTAAACATTGTGACATGGACGGTAACGACGTGGTGAGGTTCCAAAACCGTTTTAATATAACGTATTTAACCTCTGTCTTGTGAGAAAATACAATCATCGAACAAACTTATTACAAATCTTTCACGGGGAGCGGTTCTTTCCCAAAAATATTATGTTTTTTTTTCGGGGGGGGGGTTGTTTCATAACTTAGCGCTAAGCTGCTCACGAGGATTATATGCGTATAGTCGTCCCTAATTTTGAAATAATGGACTAATTGGAAGTTAGCTATTCAACAGTACCCACCGCTAACTTTTGGGCTAATTTTCTCTGACCAAACAGTCATTATTGTAGCGAATCCATGACCTCACAGTGCGGAGCGAGTTTTTTGTGGTAACGAACCATGATTACTCGGAGTTACAGTCCAGACATATTAACCACCAGGCTACCCTCCGCCTTTGGATTGTCTGATAAAATCTGTCTAAAAGAACTTCATAATTGAATTCCAAATATCTGACACAATTTAACCAAAGCAAAACATTTTGTTGGTACAGAACCAAATAGTTTGGATTATATTTGTTTTAAAAAATTCGGTAACTTTGATGATACAGTAAGGAATGAATTCTTCTTGATGATACAAGAAAACTACAAATATTATAAAAGGAAAACAAAATACACGCATGGACGATCAGACATGTTATATTCTGGTTGACGGAGCCAAATTCAAACGTCGCCAACGACTGGCAAACATGAATAAGAAACGACATATTGATCCTCAAGAAAGACTGGAGAGGAACACTTTATAAACCTATTTTAATAACACTTGAAAGATGTGATTACTGGATTTCTTCTTGGAACTTCAAATACTGTTAATAACCTCGAGTTCCCTTTATTACTTTACATACAAATCAATCATTTCTATTTTGTTTTCATTTAATAAAAGTTAAAGCTTTTCCATGTTACTAAAGTACATACAACAAAGCACTACTGCCAAGATTTGTGCACACAGAACATTAGGTTAAGTATACAGGAATTTACTGCTGACTGAATGATCTGCAGGCACTTACGAACGGGTAATATTTTAAGTTAAGTGTACAGACACTTTATGGTCTGTATAATCTTTAGAGTTCAACACAACCTTAAATAATTGGAATACATTGTATAAACATA